TGAATAAGTTGAAGTTACATCCTTCTAACAGGAAAAGTAACTTTCGTTATCATGGAATTATAACAAAACCTGCCAATTCAATATAAATGGAAAAAAAATATTATATGGAATTCAACGAAAATGAAAATTTGCTTGATAATTCAACTACGCTTGTTGGAGAACAATAAAAACACTACACTCAACAAGCCACCGATAAAACTCAACTGCCTAACCTATAACCAAAGTCTCCTTTTAATTTGTTTTTAAAAAAAAAGCGCTTGACAAACTTGCCCCGCATGCCGAAGTTGCCCCGGTCTCCCCTAGATATAGATGTGGAAACGTCTATCCTGTGAATTACATTTTCAGGTAACTGTAGACTAGGAGTTCAAGCAGAAATTTAAAAATTACCTTTTTAAATTTCTGCTTATATAAGTGCGAAAATGTAAAAATAATTTACTTATCAAATCATACTATTAATATGATTAATTAATAAAATGTGTATAATACTAATTTACAAAATTGTCAATTGTAGCATAGAACAAGTCACATTAATTTAGGCCTATCGTAGTTTCGTTTTCCTTTAAAAAGTTTAAGATGTAATGAAGGTTCTGTTGAATTTTTAGGAGCACTTTATAGTGTTTTTTAAATAACACATTACTGCTGAACTTTAATTTTACGCACCTCTGAATAACGAATATAAGAAACACGAATCAAATCCACAATAAAGAAAATAAGTTTTTCTAGTAGACAATATACATACATAATGTGTATTTATACAATCAGTCCTTTCTCACGCAGATGAGGGATAAGACAATTCTACGGCGTGAGAAAGGACTGGTTGTATAAAGACACATTATGTATGTATTGTCTACTAGAAACGTTATTTTCTTTATTGTAAATTAAATCGTCCTGGCTTAATTTTAAAAAATGAATCAAATCCGCTTGTTCCAAGGTGTATGTACGAATGGAGCAGTAGTTACTAGAGAATATCAGATTATAATTGTTAGTGCGTGAAATTTTTGCTAAACAGAACGTTATTGTTTTAGTTTCTTCTTGGAAGTGTGGTATTTTTTTCTTATTTATCATAACAAGAACTGTGGTTTGTATCTCATGTAAAAGTAACCGTGACATTCTCGAATACAATAGACAATCTGCAATATAGAACAATTGCTTCCCCTATTAGTTCGTTATACACGAGGATCGACAGTAAAATTATAATATTTACCCTTATAACTCAAACATTTTTGTTACAATTTTTACTCAAATATTTTATAAGGTTAATGTAATGTTTTATGAGGCTAATATAAATTTTATAAAGTTTTTCTTATGACTTAAATTATTTATTTCAATTCATAAATATTTAAAAAGTACAGGATAACATAATTAATATTCCCGATAACAGAGATATGTAGATGACACTAATAATTCAAATGCATTTCATTTTTTCACCGCAAAGAGCGTAAAAGGCTCTGTTCTCTTGACGAAATATCAAAGACTCGAATGATTAAATGGAGAATCCTTTAGTGTGAAGATATACCAATTAATTATTAAATTAATAAATTATTTTAAATAAATATACTATATTGTTTTTAATATATTGCTACAGTAATGAGTTGGTTTAGGTGGAAGAATATGGAAGTGGTTTTTGTCATTTTAATTAACAAAAGTATCTGCCGCACTACGCGGTTAATCGGTTTCAATGAAAGCTAAGTGTGAAGTGAAATTGTATAAAGCAAGCTTCGTATTTTTTTGACCGTAGCAGCTAAAATTTTGTAATTTATGTTTAGGCATGTTCTTTCAATATGCATTGATTTTGCGCGACAATAGCTTGAGACCAATACCGGATTTATAAAGGAGCTTGCAGCCGCTTGCTAGTGCCTTGACTTCGCAAAAATTTGGAAAGGAAACTTTTGAAATCCGCATAATTTCCAGGAAATTCAGAATTTTACTTTCCTGGGTGTTATATATAACAGAGGATACTTATGACAATCGGTCAAAAAATGATCCCCTAAGAGTTTTACATTTTTAGTCTTAGGAAACCTTGAAACGTAGAAATATGAAAAAATGGGGTTTTTCTGTATGTATGTATGTATGTATGTTAGTATGTGTATTAGTGTGTATGGGACACGCTTTTGTTCGCCCACTTTGAAGCTTAATAACTCCTGTGCCTTTTGTCGAAAATTTCTGAAATTTTGCAGGAAGGTTAAAGTAATAGGAATTGTTGTTAAAGGTGAAGGGGTTTGGGTCCCGAAAAACACAATTTCGAATACTGTAATCCGAAAGTTTGGGTCCATAATCCCGAAAGACACAATCCCGAATACCGTAATCTAGAATGTTGAAATCCTAAAAGTCAAAACCCCGAAAGGCTAAAATACCGAAAATCACAATCCCGAAACAACTAAAACTCAATTCCCAGTGAAAAATTTGTGGTCTGTATATGGTGCATGCAGAATGATTTTCGCTACTCAAAACAACATAGAAGCATGATACAGAAGATGGAAAAATTTTGTAGGGATCGCTCACTTTGGTACATATCGAATCATTGAAGAATTTCAAAAAGTGCAACGCCACATAGAAAGTGAATATGAGCGAATACTCCGAGGAAAGCCATGTCCTAAAAGAAAACGAGCAATTATTTATTGTGACATCGTCACAATGCCGGATTGCAACTTTTAATCATATTTTTAACTTATGCTCTCTACCTTAAATTAGTACTGTAGTGTCTTACCCATGTATATTATACTTATCTATTATAAATGGAGTCGTGTTGGTCATCTATTAACTGCTTTCAGGGAAAATTTTTTGAATTGAAATAGCATGTCTTCTGGTTTGCATCGGAAGTTCATATATTGTTAATCGGGCCTCCTGCCCCTAAGATTTCCAAACTTGATCTTGTCTTTTATATATCTAACTCTGTTTTTGAGATTAAGAAAAGACAGACGGACGGACGACAATGGGAATTTATAGTTCTGCAATTTTTTGAAATTGCAGCCCAAAATAGTAGATACTCATAATATACTTCAAAATATAGTTAATAATCGTGAAAGTCGGCCAGCTCTTATGGGAGTACCTCCGTGCAATTGTCTATGATCTTTCCATGTAATATGCTTTTTCGTATGTTGCTATATACATATGAATACAGTGTGACCATGACTTAGACCGTTTCTGATTGGCTGAGCCATATTACTTCCAGTTTGGTATTGTTAACTGCTTTTATGTGCTAAAAATCATTTACTAACTCATTTTGTGCATTAATTAATAACAAATATGCAAGGAAACTGTTATTTAATTTATCTTGGTAAATGTATTCTTTATTTATAAATTAATAATATTTTAAATGGGATTAATAATAATAATGTTTAGCTTTTTTGTTCATATTCTGATTATACAGGTATACCTCGCCTTACGTCGGTAATTGGTTCCAGGAAAACGACTTAAGTCGAAAAACGACGTAAGTCGAATTTACTTGTCTCCGAATCTACTTGTCACTAGGCTAAACCACAAATTACTATTCCCAGTTCTGTATTTTATTTATTAATGCATTTTTAATAATATATGGTTAATAAGAACCTATTTTAAGCTTACAAACAAATAAATTTTAGTTTTTAATATAGTACAGAAAAAAGTAATCTAAATTTACGAATGCATGTACTGTACTGTAAATACAGTACATACTTGTAAATGTGTATATTTTAATATGATTTTATGTGCTTTAAACGCTTTTCTAGTGNTTACAGATATACTGACACGAGATTAATGGCTTGTATTATTAGATTGAATAAAATAGAAACATCTTAAAATAAGATAATATAGAATAGTATAAAACAGAATAAAATTATCTACGAATATAGCAATGAGAATAAATTTGAATAACAGCTTTAAATTTTTTCTTTCGTGGAACACTCAAGGTAGGTTTCCAGAACACCTGTGTTCAGCAACACTGGTTAAGAACTACTGGTGTAGTCCAATGCAAAATTCAATACAAGTTACGCATAATTGGTAATATTCTAATACTGTCCTTAAAAAATAAAAACATTGTAATTATAAATATTTTTAAGTAATTTAATGATAAAAACATCCTTAAGAAGCATTTATATATTTTTAATTTAAGATAAAATTTATTTAAATTAAGAAAGAATGTATATCTAGATTTCTTTGCTATAACCATTATCTTGAGAAGAGTTCTCAACTTATTTTTATCACAGAATCCTTTTCACCTTAATAAAAAATGTTGGAACCCTGCAGATACGGTATCAACAAATTAAAGCCTAGGCTTTAATTTGTTGATACCGTATCTGCAGGGTTCCAACATTTTTTATTAAGGTGAAAAGGATTCTGTGATAAAAATAAGTTGAGAACTCTTCTCAAGATAATGGTTATAGCAAAGAAATCTAGATATACATTCTTTCTTAATTTAAATAAATTTTATCTTAAATTAAAAATATATAAATGCTTCTTAAGGATGTTTTTATCATTAAATTACTTAAAAATATTTATAATTACAATGTTTTTATTTTTTAAGGACAGTATTAGAATATTACCAATTATGCGTAACTTGTATTGAATTTTGCATTGGACTACACCAGTAGTTCTTAACCAGTGTTGCTGAACACAGGTGTTCTGGAAACCTACCTTGAGTGTTCCACGAAAGAAAAAATTTAAAGCTGTTATTCAAATTTATTCTCATTGCTATATTCGTAGATAATTTTATTCTGTTTTATACTATTCTATATTATCTTATTTTAAGATGTTTCTATTTTATTCAATCTAATAATACAAGCCATTAATCTCGTGTCAGTATATCTGTAACGGTATGCCTAAAACGCCCACTAGGGGCGCACTAGCGATGATTTTAAATTAACAATAAATTATTATTATTTGTAATAGGAATTTATTATTTATATGAATTTATTATTTATACTACAGAATGACACAGCTGCTGCTAGAACGCCTTTCTCGTAGGGAAGAGGGTTAAGGGAAATTCCCCCACGGGAAGGGGAAAACATTCTCCATTGATATGAATTTATTATTTTTTCCACGAAATGACTAGAACGCCCACTAGGGGACGGCCCGGGCTACTAGTATATTATAGTTTATTAGTTTGTTGCTTCGTTGGTGGCCGAGTGGTCTCCGTTGCCGCTCATAGCGGTGGTGACTGGACCCTAAACACTGGGAAGTTCGCCGTGGGTTCGCGCCACGATCGGACAGGCTGGCTGCTTGGAGTTTTCCGGGTTTTCTCCTTGCCAATAAAGACAATAGGAGGCCAGTTCCCCATAAACGTCCTCCCGGAAGGCATTATTTCCCGCGCGCGCGTATAGGCCGTTCGGATACGGCTGGCTCAACGGTCGCATCGCGATCATAAAGACATGTCTAGTCGGAGAAAGAGCTTAGGCTCAACGGTCGCATAGCGATCATAAAGACATGTCTAGTCGGAGAAAGAGCTTAAAGTCTCCATATAAACAACATCTGAGAAGAAAGTTGCTTCGTTGTTTCCTGAGAATAGTAAACATGGAATTTCTTATCAATTTTTGAATGTATTGAGGCTAATGCTCCGTAATAATAAGTATTTGAATGGTGTTCCGTGGCCTTAGAAAGGTTGAGAACCACTGAACTACAGAGTTTTTATTTAAATAAGAAAATAAATCTAATTTTTGTATATCTTATACATTTTTTATTTTATTTTTTACAGATTTATTATTCCAGTTATTCTTCCGGTTCTGGTTCCGGTTCCGGTTCCGGTTCATCTGTTGTCTCTTCATTTTCTACTTGGCAGGTGTAGATAAACTTAGCAAGTCCCTTGAAAAATATAAACACAGTTTTTACTTTATAAAATCTCAAAATATTTATTAAAAAACCATTTATAAAAAGTATTTAGGAGTCCGTAATGTAAAATTTAAAATTAAGATATAAATAAGTATTTCTCAACAAGCATAAGCTGGTTACGAAAATTTATTAACTACAGTTGTCCCTCTATAGTCCGACGTTTTTTAATCCGACATGCTCAGTAGTCCGACGCACCTCCCGTCAAGGTACCCGTCCCCGTTACGTGTCTGCTTGCACAGAAGCATGTCGCGATGTGAATCTCCCCATCCAATTCTTACTCGATGACACATTTCGTGTGTTTTATGTGAGCAGTTCTGTTCGAACAGTTGGAGTAGAGAATATTGTAAGTTACTGCTAGCAAAACAATGCGAAATATGTAATTATTTTCGGTAATCCGGACACTTTTGGTAATCTGACACACCTTTGGTCCCATACCTGTCAGATTATCAAGGGACAACTGTATTTTGATTATTTTTAAAATTAAGTTTCTGCATACAGTTGTTCTTATTATAAGAATTTTTTTAATTAAGGAATTTAAGGGAACCAATAATTTGGGTGTTATAAGAATAATCATGAAGGACCCAATTTATAAAGTCTATTTTCATAATTTATAATTTACGTGCCCACCAGCGGCTGAGTGGATAAAACCACTAAACATTGGTAGTTTTCCGAGTTTTCTTCACGTTAGTAACCGGAGCCCACAGTGGCCAAGTGGTCTTCGTACCCTGAACACAGTTCTGTCGTGGATTCGCGCCTCGCTCCGACGGGTTGGCCACGTGGAGTTTCCGGGTTTTCTCCACATCTGTAACGAGTAAATATGGGCCAGTTTCCCTTAAAAAGACCTCCCGGAAGGCATTCCCCCTGGGCAGATCGCCCAAGTGTTGCATTGCCATAACTCAAACAAACTAATTTACTCGATAGTAGTAGGTCTATATCAGTTGTAAAGTTAAAATTTAGACATTTCGATTTTTTTCTAGAAACGACTAAAAAATGTTCTGGAATGTTCGGTATGGGTATATAAATATCAATAGTTTACCCGAGGGGAATTTCATATATTTCATTGAAAATAGACGCATCAGCAAAATGTGGAAGAATGTATTCGCATGCTTGTTGCTCTACCACTTCAAAAGTGGCCACAACAATGAAGCTCATCTGAAAAGCATTTGGCGAGGATACGGTCAACAGGCAAACCTATTACAATTGATTCAAGGAATTAAAGAATAGAGATTTCTCGCTTCAAGATGAACGCTACTCAGACAGCAATTTCACCATTGATGATGACGTCCACCTGCATTGATAGATGATAATCCATGGTTAAACCAGAGAATTAGTATAACAATATGAGTATTCTCACACCCTCCAAAATTGACAAAGTCCGATACCACCACGACAACGCGCCAGCATATGACTTTAGATAATCTTGTCAATCTGGACTGAGAGATTCTGCTTCGTCTACCTTATGGTCCAGACTTGGCGCCAATTGACTACTATGTATTTCACATGCTGTAGAACCCTATTGCCAATATACAGTTCAATGACAATACCTATGTGAGAATAACGCTCGAGACTTTCTTCAAAGAAAAACCACAGTTATTTTATGCCTACGGGATTGAAAGTTTGCAGCAAAGGTGACGAGATGCGATTGATATTGATGGTGATTATCTATTAGGCTGAACTGTAATAGTTAATTAATTGTCAATAAAGTTTTGTTTTTCAAAATGTCTAAATTTCACCTTTATGACCTGATGTATGTGTAGCGAATAATCTGCCTACTGTACTGTACATCAATCTGCCAATTTGCCAATTTAGTTCTAGTCATTTTGATTAGTAATGGTTTATGTATGTATGTGAATTTAAAGCTATTCAAAACTAAGAACAAACTAGTTATCAGTTTTGTCAGTTGAAGTCTTCAATTCATAACTGAATTCATTTATATACTTTTTAAATTTCTATTTAATTAATTAATATTATTTTAATAATATTATTAAATAATAATAAATTATTTTATAAAATTTCAAAGAATATTAATTATATTCTGTAAGTTATTCATCTTCAGCACTTACTTTATCTTCCTTTTTTAAGCATTCTAACCCTTCTTGACATGGGCATCTTAGTGCGTACATTTCTTTATAAACAGGTACTTTCACAGGCTTCGGCATACACACTTTGTCTGTAAGATAAAAATTTTCAATAATTTATGACAAACGTTTTAAAACAGTCTTTTATAAACAAGTTAATGAAAGATATGATCAATTAGATGAATTGTTTTGTAAGGGTTTGTCAAAATTTTATAATGTACCTTTTTCTACTCTTTTTTGACATAATTTTACAAAACTACTCATTCTCACACAACATTCATCATCTTCGCAATTTGCTTGTCCTAAACAGGGTTTCAGTGCATTTACCTAAAATAGTAAATATAAATATATAAACGAAACTATATCTTACAATCTACGAACAGAATTCAAGATACCTGAACGACCACAAAGGCAGTTAGACCCAATAAAAGAAAAACACACTTCATAGTTAAATGCTATAGAAAGATTTTTTCTGAAAGCAAACAAAGGAAGTATCTACTCCACTTTTTATATGTTCTTATCAAGTGATGCTAGGTTAAATTCCTTGAGAACAAATCATGTGTTTGAAGATAATTTTATCTATCCACTTTAAAACATTTTATTTATTTTAAATGAATTGATATTTGAAGTTTTATAATGAATTTTTAAAATGAAAATTAATCTTCTAAATAATTTTTAAAGCGATGAAATTATCCAGACAATACGATAGAGAGCTTTTTGTGTTTTGAGAATTTTGAAAAATAACCATAAAATAAATGGCCTTGTACAGTACGTGAATATTGCATTTTTTACATTGCTATTAATTATTAAAAGAAAACCTTAAAACAGTCGAATTATTCTCATCTCATTAGCGTAAAGTTCTTAGAGGATTATCGTCCACTGCCAGTTAATCGAAGTGGTAAATGCTTCAAGCTGTTGCTATGGGAGACAAAGTTCGAATGCGAATCCTCTACTTTGATAGGCAGAAGCACCATTTTATAATATCTATTTTGTGACCATCGTAAAGTGTATGGACAACAACAATGGATATTTTTAAATACAGTATTGTAAAATGTACTTTTCCATATTATATATTTTGTTACTTTTCCAGTTGTTATAATACAAAGGGAAAGTATGGCCATCTGTGAGAAATGATCCCCAAAAGATTTTTTTTTTTTTTTGAAAATTTAAAGTATATAAATTATACAGAAGATTNGTCGGATTAATCTAGAATCGATTAATTTTATGGAAGAAAACTTTTCAAACAGCCGTAGTTCGTAAAGTGCATACGTGTCGGGCTGTGATTGGCAAGGACTCGTAAGAAATCGATTCATAAAGGACGGAACGTATCTACCGTCTTATAGGGGGTCGACTGTATTTGTAATAGGAATTTATTATTTCAGGGGCTTATATCTCGCGAAAGGTTGCGAGTAGGGGTATGGTTCCTTTGACTATATTGTTCGCACAGGGGCTACAGTTTGGGGGGGTCGCCATCTCTTCATTCGGAGGGTAAATCTTACCATTGGGACTTTAACAGAGCTGTAGAGCATATTGATAGGAACAAAAAAGTCAAAGGAACCGTACCTCATGGAAATTTGTAAATAACGCCCACTAGGGGGCGTCCCAAGCTACTAGTAATAATATAAACAACCCAAAATTGGTTCATCAGTGGTCCGACGTGTATTTTTTTAATTCTCTAACATATAGATGTTATACAGTAATCTTACGGGTTTCAGACATTGCATGAAGTGTATAGCATTATATGGGTATAAAATTACTTAAATTTAACTAATGTTTAAAAAAATCCAGCAGCGAGTTGCTTAATTGGGTAGACCTTACATCACCGTTTTCCAATTGGTCATCCATCTGTCTCCAGGTGTAAATAGAGCTTCGTACAGCTCGCGGGAAAGGTCGGCTGGAGATGGTTTATCTGACACCATCTTTTCGAATCTGATCGCGTTTAATTGTTAACTATGACACCTATGCTTTTTGATATATATATTTTTTTCTAGTTTCGTTTTGCTTTCTAAACTGCGTCTTAACTTTATTATTTTAAATTTTCTTCTTTTATATCTAAAATTATGTTTTTCCCGTTATTCTTTATGAGCGCTGACGTTAAAGTCCGGTATCGCCGATTCGATACTGATATAATCTGCTTTCTTGACGATTTAATTTAACAAACTTTTTTTTCTTATATCTTTCCGTTTTGCGGGGGCTATTTCTGGGGCCTCACACTATGCACCATCAGTGTTAGCCTTACACTACAGTACTGGGCAGTTTTTCAATGACCTTTACCAGCTTAACTTTCAAATCAGCCTGGCGAGGATTTGTGTATGTCAGTACGTCATCAAAAAAATCTGTAAGAATTCTAATTACCCCCACCAGCTTTGATCTCGGATACCGAAGCTGTCCTCTATCCTGGTTTGATATTAAGCCAAAAAGAACTCCATTACTTGTGGGATGGTTGAGGATTTCAAGACACTCATGGCATGCAACCTTCTCTTTAAGAACTCTAATTAAATAGCCACTGATAACTGCCAGAGAAGCATTTTCAATTGTACAGGGAACACTGCAGTCTTGTGTGAGGGATTGCAATTTTTGTAAAATAGACAGTGAAGAATAATGCAATTTACAGACTTTATCTTCAACATTAAAATTGGTTTCTGTCATAACTGGTAACAACTTTGAGGAGAAAGAAGAGCATGGTGCATTTCCATTCTGTGCAGCCTGTAAGATACCAACTTTTAAAATCATTTGCGTTGTAAGAGATGCTGATCGTGCATCTAATTTGTCATTTCCTCCATTAAACTGATGAATGCAGCTAAAGAATGACTCAATTGGATCACTGTTAAATCTCCTCGTCAAAACGTATCTGAATTTGACGGTATTCAGCAAATACTTTACAACATCAACATCAACTATAACTGTATGTAATTATCACAATTTCATAAAATAGCTATACTCGCACACGAAAGTACTGTACAAAATGACCAATTTACTCAACACGCGATTCTCACCGATAACTAGCGCCAAAATCTTTCGCAGCAGCAAAAAATGGAAACAGTGTGAATACGGCAATCTTCCTTACGGCGGACGGCCTTACTAGCGAAGCGATCAAGTGGCCTTGACTCAACTTACCCCCCTAAACTCTCCATAGCGTGGCGCTGGACGGCGGAAAGTAGTTCGGCTACCCGTCCACTATTGGTCCAGATTCGACCAATCCTGTCGCGACACGAGTCGGCGATGACGTTTTACCGAATTATAGGAGTTTTTTAGCATGTTTGTACGAATACTGTCGCAATTTTTTCGCCGTGATATAGGAATCCGAAGTATAGGAACTCGTGTTACAGGGGAGTCTACTGTATTCATAATGACCGAGCATTATTCATAATGCCCGTATTAATCACTTGGTCCAAAACATACATATTAAAAGCAAAATGTTCTGTCACCACTTCACACAAATAACGTAAATTTAAAAATAAATTTGATTTACAATTTAAAAATTTTTAAACAATTTTTAAATGAATATAAACAACACACCAAACTCTTGCTGAGTTTATTATTACTTTAATTTCAAACGTTTTCAGTCCAATTCCAATAGGCCATCTTCAAGAACTATTCGAATACAACTTTCGAATAAATTTTAAATTTAAACTTTTAACATAAACTGTAACTATTAACTATTTAACATATTTTTAAATATCACTGTAAACCATTAAATATTTAACTAAAAAATTTTAACATATTATATGATAAACATAAATAATATAAAAAATATATAAAAATATAAAGCTTACTATAACAAAAATATACATTAAACCAGTAATACACAACTGCCATAAGTTTACGGGTTTTTAATCCCCATTTCCTTTTCTATTATGTACTTCCATGCCGTTGGAAGAGCATTAGCATCCTTGGCGTTTAGACACTTGCTATTTATCTTACTCTTATAAATCTCCATTTTTTCTATGCCAAAGGCAATAGTCGGAGAATGGACCGGTTTAACAATTCGTGCCTCATCCCATTTAACACTTGCACCATCTGTTTGCGCCATGATTGCCAAGATAGTGTTGTTGTTCCCTTTACTAACATCATACATATGCTCCTTTAAACGAACTGCCAGGTTCCTTGTGGTTACGCCCACATAATCTTTTTCTACTCCTAATTGTTGATTTTCAAAAGGAATTCTATAAACCCCAGCTTTTTCCTTCATTCCTATCTTGTCCTTATCATTCCTTAGTAACTTGTAGATGTTCGGCGCTCTTTTATAAATAGATCTTGTGCTCTTATATTTACACAACTCTTCCATTATTCCTTCTACATTCCTGT